AAGCCACTTTTAATTGGGTTTCTTTCTTATTTCTTGTACCTGAAGGCTCTATAAGTGATCCAGCAGCCAAAGCAGTAGGATAGTTGTGAAAATTTAATGGTGGTTAGTAAATACTAGTTCTCCTCTCAGAATCTGAATTATAGAGCAAGACTCTTAATACTGATAACCCCTAAACGGTATAGTCTTTTTGTCACAGAATGCCTCCCTAGGCATTATTCTACTAGATTGTGGGTTTATTGTTATTATTACTATTGGCCTCAGTGTGCAACTTGTTCGGATCTTACTTCCTGAACAGGGATTGGACCCAGGGCCACAGCAGTGACAGAGCCAAGTCCTAACTAATGGGCCACCAGGGAACTCCCTAGGTTGTAAATGTCTTGAAAATTGACATCAGGTTTATTTTGTCTCGAGCTGTAACTCCTAGCACAGGTATTGAATCTCTGTGAGATTATATCTTTTCGTGGATTTGTTCTTAAGTGACAGTGATGCAGTGAAGTAATTGCCTAGGAATTGGGCAAAGTGAATTGACACAACTCTAGATGTAGGCCTCATGGTATAGTTGTTGGTTATGCGTGCATGCTTGCTCAGTTGCTTAAGCTGTATCTGACTCTTTGTGACCCTATATACTGTAGCTTGCCAGCCTCCTCTGTCCCTAGGATTCTGCAGGCAAGGATACTAGAGTGGGTTGCCAATGCCCTCCTCCAGGGGATCTTCTGAATCCAGGGATCAAACCCGTGTCTCCTGCATTGCAGGCAGATTCTGTACTGCTGGGCCACTGGGGACAGTTGGCTGTTGATTATGGGACAGTTAATTTGGTTCTTTGATTGGCAGACTTTATGTTAAGGTATTTGAATATTAACTGCTATTATCTAAGGCCTATGTTATATTGAAGGCATCATTAACTTTATAACCCATCATGTGAACATTCCCTGACTGTCAGGATTTCCACCAAAGGCTTAGAATTAACATTGCTTAGAAGGGCTTGGGTGACCCAGGGCTTTAGGATGAGCATTATAAAATGCTAAATGCGATCCTAAAAGATAAACAAGAATTTTAAGGACAGATAACCATCACCAAGTTGCTTCTGCTTGCCAGAGGGTGGGTTTTCTATACATCGTAGACCATAAATGAGGAAGGCAGAGAGCAAGAGGATCCCCATAAGAGGAGTCCGTAATTTCGTGTACATGCTGGGGGCGGGGGGTGGAGTGGAAAGGTGTTATCAAGGGATGGGAGGCCCATGGCTCTCAGCATCTCTGGGCCTCTCCCAGGAGAAAGCGCCTTTCCAAGGGACATTCAACTCTTCACCATGACTCCCATGTAGACTCTGTCAGTGAAGGGAATCCTTGGCCAAGAAAGCCTTCTTTACAGTCAGCAAACCTGTGAGGAAATGATGAATATTATTACAACTGTTCCCTCATTCAACCTCTAGCAAGTCTTGAATCTAGAAGGTCAGGTGTATGGCTCAAGATATATTATCTTCTGTCAAGTACCCCAAGTGATGTTTTTAGTAATTTTTCAGACCTTACCTTGAGTATTACTGATAGAGAGACATCTGGACTCGTCACCCTGTTTTGAGATGGTCCCGCCAGCTAATTACTGTGGCCTAAAAGGTCATTGTTTAATAGTCTCTGTAAAATAGGGTCTATTATACAGAGTGAAGTAAGTCAGAAGTGCAAATATCATGTATTAACCCAAATATATGGAATCTAGAAAGATGGCACTGATGAACCTATTTGCAGGGCAGTAATGGAGCTGAAGACATAGAGAATGGACTTGTGGCCACAGTGGGGGAAGGAAAAAGTAGGACAGATTGAGAGAGTAGCATGGAAACATCTATATTACCATAAGGAAAATAGACAGCTGGGGGGGATTTGTATGATGTAGGGAGCTCAACCCTGTGCTGCCTGACAACCTGGAGGGGTGGGATGGGGTGGGAGATGGGAGGGAGGTTCTAGAGGGAAGGGACATGTTGTTGCCTATGGCTGATTCATGTTGATGTATGGCAGAAACCACCACAATGTTGTAAATCAATTATCCTCCAATTAAATAAAAAAGTAAAAGATAAACTGTCAGTGTTAGGCTTTATCTGTGCGTCCATGGCACATAGGTGGGAGAGGTAGTCTGCAGAGTATGATGCTCTGGGATTCCCTTCAGGAGGTGCTCATGGTCCCTTCCACCCGCGAGAGGGATCTTGACCTTCAATAAAGGGTATGAACAATGTAGGTCAGCTTCCAGCCCATTTCCTGTGAGAATTGGTAAATCATCCCCTCTAGATGGACACTGCTCGAGGGGTTCTGGCTCGGTGAGAGAAGAAAAGGCTAGGTTTTAGCCCCACCTGCCCACAATGGGTTGCTTTTGAACATCGTATACAATCTTCTCAACTGTACAGGATGGCCTTTCATTATATGAGATCCTGGTGGCGATTTAGTTGCTAAGTCATGTCTGACTCTTGCAACTCCATGGACTGTAACCCCAGACCCCTCTGTCCATGGGATCTCCCAGACAAGAATATTGGAGTGGGTTGCCATTTCCTTCTCCAGGGGATCTTTGCAACCCAGGGATCGAACCCAGGTCTTCTGCATTGCAGGCGGATTCGTTACCAACTGAGTCACCAAGGAAGCCCTACCCTTGGCTCTCTCCAAGGGATGATTTTAGCCACCTGAGGGTTAATTCTCAAAAAGTAAAATAACTTTTGGGGGGGGGGTCCCTAATAAGGCCCTAAATAAACAGCATCCTTATTTCCAACTAGGTTCAAAACAAGTTGAATAAATAAATAAATAAGCTAAAAGTATTGTCTTTATTGGTGACAGCGGCTAGACTGATCAGTAGATGCCACAGCTTTTTTAAAAATTTGTATTACTTTATCCGGCTATGCTGGGTCTTAGCTGCAGCATGCAGGATCTTCAGTTGAGGCATATGAACACTTAGCTGTGGCATGTAGGATCTAGTTCCCTGACCAGGGATCGAACCTGGGCTCCCTGCATTGGGAGCATGGAGTCTTAGCCACTGGCCCACCAAGTGAATCCCCAGATGCTACAACTTGAGTGCAGAAAAAGTAGCTGCCCTTTATTTGCTGATCAGTATCCATCTTCTCCACCCAGGAATCGACCCAGGGTCTCCTGCATTGCAGGCAGTTTCTTTTCCAATTGAGCGACCAGGCAAGCCCTACCAGGTGCTAATTGACACTATATCTAACCTTCCTATAATTTGAGATCAATATTGTGATCTCTATATTGTAGATGAGGAAATTGAGTTGATAAGTTGGAGAAGTCAAACCCAGGCCTGACTAGCCCCAGAACTCCCACTTCTGACTTGGCACTGCCACTTCTGGAGAACCAGCTGGAATTTCTGCAACCAAAACCCAATTAAATCAACCAACGATTCTTACGAGATTCCCAAAATTGTCCTCTGGCGGAGTTTTTCCCTTTCCCCAAAGTTCTCCTTTGGCACAACCCAAAAAGGCCTTGGCTCCTTCAGCAGATCTAGAAATGTGTAAAGCCTCACGTCTTCCAATTCTGGGTCATTTTTCATTGCTCCTGGGAGCACTAGGTCTAAGGCCAACATGGACGTACTATTTTGAAACTAAAGGCATTTCTCAGAAAACACAGGCATGGTGCCATTGGAGGATATATTTTATATCATCACCCAGGTCTTCAGCCCCATGGCGACCTATCACTGCTCCTGTCCTTCCGCTGGGGTGTCACCGCCGAAGGAGAAAGGCTGCTCTGTTTAGCGTTCTTTCTCAAGCATGTTGGAAAAACCACATGCAGAGACCCGAAGGGCTATTTTGCTCTCGTGGATTTTTATCATTACAAATGTACATTTTTCCATGGGATAGTTCTTGCTTTAGGTCAGGTTCCTTAGAAGCAGAGCCTGAGATGGATTGGTTTCAAGTGATTTATTGTGTTCAAGGAGAAGGAGAGAAACAGTCCTGATGGGGGAAAAGGGCGGAACAAGAATTTGGCTTCAGCTGGAGTCAAGCTTCTGCTTGATCCCAGGGAGACCTCCAGAGCACAGCCTGCACCACGGGGATCATCTTGCCTTAAAGTCAGGAGGGCTGGCCCTGTGTACTCCCATGATGGACAGTCTGGGGCCCCTGGCCAAGGGGGCCACGTGTCTATGTGCCTGTGCACGTAGCTACCTGGTTGAAGTGGCTACCCTTTGCTCCAGGGGGCTCCCTCTAAGCCATGGGCATTTTTCCAGAGAAGGGAGTAGCTGTGAATTTCACCGGCCAACTCTCCCAGTAGCTCAGAGAAAGAGCCTGGGTGCGCTGGCTGGTAAAAAGGCCCTGGGCAGGGCACCAAAACCAGTTCTGAGTCACAAGACACAAAAATCATTCGAATCCGAGTACTGGTTCATTAATCTCAGCGTTCCCAGAGATTATGCCTCATTATATATTCCTTGCTACACATTTAATTGGTGAAGAAACCAAGGCAAAAACCAAGAGCAAAATAGTCCTGCACGTTCAAGGCGCTGTGACTAAAGATGGTGTTCAACCAACAGTCACCCTATTTCAACATTCAGCCAGCCTGCTGGAATACATAACTGTGACAGCTACAGCAAATTCCATTTCATGCCCAACAATACCGCATACTGTTCAGTCTTCCAGTGTGACCAACAGGTGGCACCAGAAACACCCACATTTATTCCAACTAATTTATGCATTACGTATATATTGGCTAAAATGTCAATTCCCCTCTCCTCAGATTTCTCATGTGGAAAAGACACTCATAGCATTAAATCCAACCCCAAATTTGGTAACTTACAGTTTTCCATTTGCTATTTGACCTCTGCCTTGAAAGGTTATTTGAATGTGAAAAAAAAAAAAAATAGGGTGATAGGGCCAGTGAATTCAGAAAGAAAACATCTATTCATTAGCAAAAGGAAGGAAAAAAGACTGGAGTCCTGCATCCTTTTCCTTCAAGGTCTCTTGAGTGTGTAAATGCCGAAGATTATTAGGAAATATGTGAATAACAGGATAAAAAAGTCAAGGATACTGTCTCCAAAACATGAACTTTATTCTCGACTGAAAACAGACTTGGATGGCAACCAAGTTGTTCAAGGATTGCTCCAGCTATTATCCGACCACGGGGTTCCACTCCGGGAAAGGCCTCTGGGTCCAGCGTTCACCATTTTCAAGTTTGTTTCTTTTGAAGTTTGTACTTTATTGTTGGTGAGGGGAAGTAAAGAGAGGGGGTGGGTGCTGCATCTTCCAATTTTTTTTTTTTTTTTCCTGAACAATCCAGCAATTGCCCTTTTTTCCTATGTAAGGTGAGCCAAGGAGCAGACTGACTTCGAAAAAAAACACTGAACTGAGAATTAAGCCCCAGTACACAATACACTGAACGGAGAATTAGGCCACTTTTATTCGATTCTTCAACTATGTTAGAAATTGTTCAAAATGGGGATAGTGAGTCTCAGAAAGGTCATTTAAATGACCTTAGCAAGGTCCTTAGCCAGGATCTCAGTCCAGTTTCTCTGACCCCGAGGCCAAAGTTAAACCTACGTGTGCCGTGAGCTCACCGTGCAAATTCGAACAAACCATGTCATCTCACTGGGCTTCAGCTTTATCTCTAACTTAAGAGGCCAGACTGCAAGGCCCCAACACACCTTCCAGCTTGAAACCTCCAGATTCTGAATAGTACGTGTAGAGTTCGGTGTACCGATCGGAGCTGGAGGTGTGGTTTGGCACCACCGTCCGTAGGAAGGGAGGGTAAAACTCACTTTGATAGTGTTCCAAAGTGGAAGGTGACACGGCTATTATACAATGCGTGAAACAGTCTGGTTCTTGTATTTGGGGGGGAAAGTAAATACCAGGTCCTGATTAGCCTTTCCTATACCTGTCGTCAGCTTATTATACTGTAAACACTGCGTCTGTGGGAGCCTTCCTTTTCAAATGAAATGATCCCAGCGCTTGGAATTCCTCTTCTCATGCCATGCTCTTCTGCCATGCATGCCGCAAATGATTTTCACTGCCCTTCTCTGAACTTTGACTATTTTTACTCTACCTTTTTGACACCAAGACTGGTTAAAGGGAGTTTTGGAGGGAGGGGGTGGTTGTTTGGGGGATATTTTTGTTAACTTAAAGACTTGAGGCAACAGGACTCCTGAATGGTACATGTGGATTCCTTGCTTATTTATTTATTTTTTAAAATATTTTCTTTTCATTTATTTGGCTGGACCGAGTCTTAGCTGCGGCATGCGGAATCTTTGATCTTGGTTGTGGCATGCAAACTCTTAGTTGTGGCATGTGGGATCTAGTCCCCTGACCAGGGATGAAACCCAGGCCCCCTGCATTAGGAGTGCAAAGTCTTAGCCACTGAACAACCAGAGAAGGCCCCCTCCCCGCCCCTGCTCATTTATATCTCCATAATGTGAATGGGAGAAGACAGGGAAAAAGGAGAAAAAAAAATTAACCTTAATTGAGTACTCACAGTATATCAGGCTCTCTGCTCAGCCTATTTGATAACTTATCTCCTCTTGAGTGGGAGGCAGGGGATGATTCCTTGCTTATTTATTTATTTTTTAAAATATTTTCTTTTCATTTATTTGGCTGGACCGAGTCTTAGCTGCAGCATGCGGAATCTTTGATCTTGGTTGTGGCATGCAAACTCTTAGTTGTGGCATGTGGGATCTATTCCCCTGACCAGGGATGAAACCCAGGCCCCCTGCATTAGGAGTGCAAAGTCTTAGCCACTGGACAACCAGAGAAGGCCCCCTCCCCGCCCCTGCTCATTTATATCTCCATAATGTGAATGGGAGAAGACAGGGGAAAAGGAGGAAAAAAAATTAACCTTAATTGAGTACTCACAGTATATCAGGCTCTCTGCTCAGCCTATTTGATAACTTATCTCCTCTTGAGTGGGAGGCAGGGGAGTCTCCTGGTATAGCGGTCTGCCAACGTCCTCCAGTTAGACAGACCTGGGTTCCCATCCAGGCCCTGTACCTGCTTCATCATGTAACTCTGGGCAATCTACCTAACTTCTCCAAGCGTTGGTTTCCTCAGTGAGACCACATAAGTACCTAGTATAAGCCCAGAGTAAATGCTCAATGAGTGTTAGCCAACATCACTACCCTCCCGAAGAGCAAAGCTTATCTGCTTCACTCTAGAGAACAGCAACAACAAAAATAAAGTCCTAAGGAGTTAAGGAGATTTCCAAACATACATTGATCTGACTCTGTTATGGATACCTATCGTTTCTTATGCCCAGTACCATTCTTTCCTGGGCAAACCATCCTGCCCTTCATTGTTTTGCTAGAGCAGCCGCCAGACTCTGTCTCCAAGCTACCGGGGTGGGCACGTGACTCAGGTCTGGCCAATCAGAGTGTCTTATCTTCATGTTGACCATGACTAACCCAGGACTTGGTCAGCATGATTTTTCTGTAAAGAATCGATAGAAATATTTTAGGCTTTGTAAGATATAAGATCCCTGTCACCACTACTCAAAGGTACTGTGACAGCAGAAAACACAGTCCATAAATGTATGAGTGTGGAGTGTCCAATAAAATTGAAATTTGAGTTGATATAATTTTCAGATGTGTTACAAAATTTTATCTCCCTTTTTTTCCCAACCATTTAAACATGATGAAAAGATTTAACTCGCCTACTGTCCAAAGGCAGGAGACAGGCTGGATTTGGCCCATGGGTCGTAGCTTGTTGACTGATGGTCTAAGAGATGAGCATGTGACCCTCAGAGGTCAGAGTCCTGCCATGAGCCTTAATACATGAACACTGGGAGGGACTGTGTGGTTCATCCTTTTGATCCCGATTCCCATGGCTGTCCTCCTTTCCACGTGGAGAAATCCTCTGAGAGTATGAGAACCATAGCACAGAGAATCAGAGCCAAGCAGAGCCAGCGAAGGATGAAGAAAGAAAAACAGAGCCCCAAAGACTTCATTTGAGCCTCTCCTCAAGTGATGCCTGTTAGTTCCATTAACCGACGGATTCCTTTTTTCCCTAATCTAGTTTGAGTCAGGTTTTGATCACCTACAATGAGAGGGTTCTGACAGAGACTTATGGGTTTGTTTTCCTCATACTATGCAATAGCACCTTACAAAATTATTAAGGAAAATGGAACACTAGTGTGTATCGTGTACTTACCATGTGCCAGGCCACTGGATAAGGGGCTTTCACGTGTGATCTCTCATTTATGCGTGTGTGCACGCACTCAGTCATGTCCAGCCCTTTGCAATCCCATGGACTCTAGCCCTCCAGGCCCCACTGTCCATGGAGTTTTCCAGGCAAAAATACTGGAGCGGGTTGCCGTTTCCTACTGCAGAGGATCTTTCCAAACCAGGGATCAAACCTGCGTCTATTGCACCTGCTGTATTACTGGGCAGATTCTTTACCACTGTGCCACCTAGGAAGCCTAGATAGTTCTTATAAACCCATTGAGGTTGTCAATATTTTTACCTCATTTTACCAAGAGCACAGATACATTTCATGCAAGTCAGCTGCTGGCCCAGATCCAGTGTTTGAAGGTCGGATGGAGCAGCTTGCAGGGATTTGGGGGGGCATTGAGGGAACAGACTTCTCAGGTCCATTTTCTCTCCCACTTCACTCCCCTGGAAAGTCTGATAGAAGAGTCAGGGCACGCTTAATCCCTTTTCTGAGAAAAAGAGCACGCACCGATGAGGAATGCCTACTGTCCCTTCTGGCCTTCCTGGGTGCTGGGGAGTGGCCGTCCTGGAGTTCCCACCCAGCTGCCCAGCAGAGAGGGGATGAGCAGCTGAGGCACTGGGCAGCAGCCCGGGTTAATCCCGGCTGCAGTTTGCAATCCCCTTGCAGGACCGATCAAGGATTTCCTTCAGAAGTATCACTTCCCAGCAGCTGGCTGGCTTGACTTTGCCAACTGCTTATGACCCCTGTCTGCACAGGAAGCTTCAGCAGGTAGAAGTTGGCCAGGCTGAGGAGCAGACACACCCCGGAGCTCCTTAGGACAGAACAGAAAGTTTGCACAAACAAGGTTTGCATGATACAGGATGAGAAAGGTGCCAGGGAAAATAATCCCCCATGTTCATTAACCCTCTTGATATATCAGCCCTTTGAGTTTTGGCCTGAAGACCAAGAGCAACCACAGTGACAGCTACAGGTATTTATTGGAGCTACTGTATCACCTCCCATTTCCTATTAAAATAGCCACCATTGGTTACCAAGCAGTCACTAGATGCCAGGTACTTTACTTATGTTATTCTCAATCATTTCAACAACCCGGCAAAGTGGATGTTAAATATTACCTACTATTTTATGAACAAGGTAACTGAGATAGCTAGAGGTCAAGATATGACAAACTCTAGGAAGGAAGGGGAATTTGCACCTGGTCGGTCTCTATTTCCACCTCACTGTCACAGGGGTGAGGGATTAAGTGAGAAGAGAGGGGCAATACGTTTCCAGGAGCTGCTCAGGATGGGTCAAGCCACCAGAAATAGAAATGCAACTTGAGGCTTGAATCCCCTTTCAGGCTTTGGGACTTGGAAGGTAGAGATTTTTGTTATTTTGTGCTTATCCAGTGTACCCTCCACACCCAACTCATACTTGACTCTGAGCAGGGACACAATGAGTGTTTGTTAAATGAATGAGAAAGTGAGGCCTGATGTCTGCTTTCTGTAAAACAGGAAGTGGCTGAGGGGCCACTGACTGATGAGGTCTTCTCTTTGTATATGTCACTTTTAGGAACTCTAGAAAGTTCTCAGGTTCATCCCGAGAACTCTCAGGTGCAGCCACACTACAATTTAGTGCAATGGACAGAAGTTTACGTAATTTCACAGGTCATTTGATAGGCAGTGACTTCACAAATGGTACCCTGAAAGTGAAAATGTTAGTCACTCAGTTGTGTCCGACTCTTTGCAACCCCATAGACGTAGCCTGCCAGGCTGCTCTGTCCATGGAATTCTCCAGGCAAAAACCCTGGAATGGGTTGTCATTCCCTTCTCCATGGGATCTTCCCAATTCAGGGATCGAACCCAGGTCTCCTACACTGCAGGCAGATTCTTTACCATCTGAACCACCAGGGAACATACACTAGTGGCATAAAAGAGTTAATGCATCTTTCAAAAATACTTCCCACTGGACTGCTGGAGAGTAGCTTGAAGTAAGGAATGAATTTGATTGAAAAAATATCTTTTTTTTTTTTGCTGAACCTTAACCAGGCTCTGATCAAGTGCTGGATGCTTTAAAAAAAAATTAAGCAGAGACCTCTAGAAGGCAAGTTTTTCAAAAAGTGAAGGAAGAATACAAAATTAAAAGTCTTTTTAAAAAAATAAAATGAATCAACTATACTTCAATAAAATAATTTTTTTTTTAAGATATTGAAAAAAAGGGAAGGAGGAAAAGTTGGAGAAAAAGTTAATAAACCGGAGCTTTGACTGTTTCCTTCCTAGCAGGGAAACCCTGAGCCCGATTCCCCTTTGCCTGCTTTCTGAGGCAAGGCTGAGTTAGCAAGCCATAAATTCCACGCGCCTAAGTGTGAGGAATGTGGAGATGAATGTGGGGAAGTCTTCATTCCAGAGGAAAGGGCATGAGAGTGGGCCAGCTGGAGATGGAAGACAGGACATACCCCAAGTGTGAGCCAACAGAGATTTGAAATTAGAATCTGGGCTCAACCTGCATCTAGGTTTTAAGAACTCTGTAAGTGGATAGGGCTGTCAAGCCGTTGGAGGCCACTTGTAGAGATCTGAGGTGACACAGCATTGATTCACCCAGAAAAATGATCAGCATATTTATCATTATTTGAGTCAGTGTATCTTCTTGGCAAGGAGCAGCGTTCCGGCAGGGAACTCTGACCTGGGCGGTTCGGGTAAGGAAGAGAGAGCCCTGCAGAGGTGAGGAGGGAAGGTCAGCTGGTGCAGAGAAGCTCCTCTGGCTTGGCCATCAAAGGCTGCATGATGGAGACGGGCTGTCTAAACAACTTGCCAAATTTCCGGTGGATGGTAGGCGACACCCTCCCTAGAACTCATGCCCTGGGATCCAGGCCTGGCACTTACTCTGGTGCTTGTTGTAGGAGATCATTTTTATTAGGAAGTGTGGTTTGGAGTGTAAAAGCCGCAGAGGACTCTATCTTTAAAAAAATCAATGTTCGCTGGCACAAACTAAGGCTTTCTGGGTTCTTAGATATTTAACAACAGCCTCTTCTCACCATGATTAGCCTAGGTACAAACAGTGACTATATGGGAACTAAGAATTCAAGGATGATGGCCCTCTTAAGGTATGCTTTGAGTGGAAGGATTTAAATGTATATTCTCCTAAAGTAACCTCACCCAGTCGTAGTGTGGGTGGATAGTGGAAAAGGTATTGCCTTAAATGGTCCAAAAGTGGGGACTGTGGGCTAACTATACCAATACTGTGTGAAGTGGGGCAAGCTATTTAACTTCTTATATCTCATTTTCCTTACTTTTAACATCATGGTGAAAAGAGTGTTTTTTCTTCCTGCAGGAGTTCTTGTCAAAGGTAAATAAGATAAGTGACAATATCCTTTTTTAAAGACTGAAATTGATTCAACTGCATTACATTAAGAAGGGTTGAGGGTCTGGATTAAATCTCAATCTGTGATTTACCACCTGCCTAATCTTGGAGAGGGGCTTCCCGGGCACAGGTGGCAGGTGGCACAGCAGTAAAGAATCTGCCAGCCTATCTATGCAGGAGACACAAGAGAGGCGGGTTCAATCCTTGGGCAGGGAAGATCCCCTGGAGAAGGGAATGGCAACTCACTCCAGTATCCTTGCCTGGAGAATCCCATGGACAGAGGAGCCTGGTGGGCTACAGTCCATGTGGTTGCAAGAGTCAGACACACCTAGCACACACACACAGACACACACACACACACACACAATCTTGGACATGCTTTTTTTCAATTGGAGTATAATTGCTTTACAGTGTTACGTTAGTTTCTGCTGTACAAAAGGGTGAATCAGCTGTATGTGTACATATATCCTCTTCCTCTCGAGTCTCCCTGCCATCCCCTGCCCCATGCACCTGCTGGGTCGTCAAGGAACACCGAACACTCTGTGCGGTACAGCAGCTTCCCAGGAGCTGTCTGTCCGTCTGTCTGACACACGGTGGGGTGTATGTGTCAGCGCTACTCTCCCGGCTCGTCCCGCACCCCCCCCACCCCGTGTCCACATGTTGGACATGCTTCTTGTCAATTTCCTCGTTTCTAAATAGCGCTCTCAAGAAGCTGCTGTGACGACTGAAGAACGTATATAAAGCACTCCGCTTAGAGATGGGGCTTGCTAAAT